GCTCAATTTGCCACCCTCCTTAACTAATGCACTTAATCATAGCTATCTGTGCACTTTCTTCTTCAGATTAGGTGGTGCCCACAGATACAGATGCTATAAGATAATGAGTAGCTTTCTCTTTTCCTCCTACTTATTTAACATTTGCACCAGTTATGTCCTGGCCAAGAGTGACCTCATTTGTACTAGCAAAACAAGTGTGGGGAGGAGCAGCCGTGGATTTTGAGAACACATTCCCTGCTGTTTCCTGGCCGTGCTACCTGCATAGGAGGTGTAACAGTGCAAATCCCTTCCCTGTTCTTTTTGGGGACTTCCTCTGAACAGCTTTGTGAAGCAACATGTGAGGTGTTTTGGTGTCTGGAGGATTTATAGAAAGCAATAACTAGTTAGCAGTTCTTTCTGTCATCTCCCCATGTGAGAGACTTCTCTCTGCAGTATGTGTTCAGAGAGACCTGGAGGAGGTCAGCCTTTGACCATTGTGGAGATGGTAAGCATAGAATCATTTGGGTTGGAAGGGACTCTAAAGATCGTCCAGCTTCAATCCCCCTGCCATGGGCAGGGACACCTCCCACTAGATAAGGTTGCTCAAAGATCTAGCCAGACAGGCCTTGAACATTTCCAGGGAGGGGGCATCCACAACTTCCCTGGGCAACCTATTCTAGTGTCCCCCCACCCTCACAGTAAATAATTCCTTCCTGATATCTAATGTAAATCTACCCTTTTTCACTTTAAAGCCATTGGCTCTTGTCCTATCACTTACATGCCCTTGTAAAATGTCCCTCTCCATGTTTCTTGTAGGCCTCTTCAGGTACTGGAAGGCAGTAAGATCTGCAGTAAGATCTTCCTGGTACCTTCTCTTCTCCAGGCTTGACAACTCCAAGTGTCTCAGCCTGTCTTCACAGGACAGGTGCTCCAGCCCTGGAGGTGCCCCAGCTCCTTCTCTCAGGAGCCATGGATACATCTCATCAGGTCCCATGGACTTGTGCACTTTCAGGTTCCTTAGATGGTCTGGAACCTGATCTTCTCCTACTGCGCGTCATTCTTCATACTCCCTGTCCCTGCCTTTGCCTTCTGTGGCTTGGACGATATGGCTTTAAGCACTTTCCAGTGAAGATGAAGCAAAGAAGTTCTTGAGTACCTTAGCCTTCTCCATATCCCAGATGACCAGGTCTCCCATTTCCTTCTGGAGATGACCATCACCAACATACCGACAGAAGCTTTTCTTGTTGCCTTTGATGTCGCTGGCCAGATTTAATTCTATCAGTGCTTTAGCTTTCCTAACCTGATCCTGGGCTGCTCCAACAATTTGTCTCTATTCCTCCTAGTCTACTTGTCCTTGCTTCCATCCTCTATAGGCTTCCTGTTTTTGTGTCTGAATTTGTCTAGGAGCTACTTATTGATCCATTCAGGCCTCCTGGAATTTTTGCCTGACTTCTTTGTGAGCATGCATCGCTCCTGAGCTTGGACGAGGTGATCCTTGACTATTAACCAGCTTTCTTGGGTCCTTCTCTCCAGAGCGTTATCCCACTGTACTCTACAAAAACAAACCCTGAAGAGTCCAAATTCTGCTCTCCTGAAATCCAGGGTAGTGAGCTTGATGTACAGCCTCCTCACTGTCCTAAGGGTCTTGCACTGAACCATTTAGTGGTCACTGCAGCCAAGGCTGTCCTTGAGGTTCACATTCTTCACCAGCCCCTCCTTGTTGGTGAGAACAAAATCCAGCATAGCACCTTTTCTAATTGGTTCATCTACCACTTGGAGAAGGAAATTGTCATGAGTGCATTCCAGGAACCTCCCAGATTGGTTATGCTTTTCTGTGTTCTCTCTCCAGCAGATATCTCTGTGGTTGAAGTTCCCCATGAGGACCATGGCTTGTGAATGTGAGGCTACTCATATCTGTCTATGAAGAGGCTCATCTGCTTGGTCCTCCTGTTTGGGTGGCTTGTAGCAGACATTGTAATGGGTTACAATGTCTTGTGCCCCTGCCCTCCCTTTGGTCCTAACCCATAACCTCTCCTTCAGCTCCTCATCCACCCTCAGATGGAACTCCACGGCCTCCAGTTGGTCACTGAAGTAGAGGACGACACCCCCTCCATGTCTCCCCTGCCTGTCCTTCCTAAAATGTGTTTCTTTGTGTGGTTTAGGGCATCTGTTGCATTTAAGAAGAGTCTGAGCTGAGTGGAGCTGTTCTGTACCTGATGGTGGTTTGTTGACTGCTCAGGTGGGACAGGCTAAAGGGGCTTCACAGTTATGCTGGGCACCATTTCTGGGTATGTTGCAGCAAGACAGGCTTCTGAGGAGAAGTAGGGTCTGGCCAGCAGCTGGCCAGGCCTTGCTGGGTGGCAGAAAATGCTTCCCAGAGATGAAAGCACAAAGTCTAATGTAACTTAGGAAGCTATTGAGCTGGCAGGGAGTGGCACAAATTTGTTTATAGAACTTTGACACTTCCTTTTTACCTAATTGCCTCACCTCTACAGCAGATAATTATTACTGTAAATACCCTAATAAAACCTGATTTTATAAGTGTCTGAAAGCCTCTCAGGCTTTTTCACAACACGCAGTATGGGTGAAGATCAAGCCACCTCTGCCTCTGTGCTTTAGCTGAATCATGGTCCCATCACACCCTGAACAACCTGGCAGCCCTCCCAGGGGACCCAGCCCCACGCATCGCATGACTGCAGGCATGGGAAACATGGCAGTGGTGTTTCAAGTGTGGCTGCCACCTGACTGGAGGTGACTGTTTTGTAAATGGCCTTCCTGTGGGATGCCTGTGGTAGTCAAATTACTGCACTTCTATGTTATGTTCTGACATTCCCAGTCTTCAGCATGTTTTTGATTTGTTGTACACTCTCAGCCTTTTCCAAAAAGCAAAAGTAAACAAGTAACAAAAACTTACAGCAGGACATCTCTACTCCAAGGCAGAACTATGTCTGTCGATCTTATTTGCACTATGTCATGTTTATGGATGTAGCAATGTGAGGGTGGAGTGGCACATCAGCAGCGAACAAAGTTGTGAAACAAAGTATGTGAGACAATCTAAAATGCATTGATTGAATCTCAGTACATAAATGCAGCAGCATGGCATGGACTTTCCATGCGTGGTAAAATCATCTAGCTGCAGCAGCTGCCTTTTGGGCAGTTGCAAGACACAAATTTTACCAATGCTGAAGTAAAACTTTTCACCACTACTCTTAAGACCAGAGTTAGACATTCGTGGGACCTGAACAGATAGGAGTAGCCTCACATTCACAAGCCATGGTCCTCATGGGGGACTTCAACCACAGAGATATCTGTTGGAGGGTAACACAGAAAAGCATAACCAATCCAGGAGGTTCCTGGAATGCACTTAAAGTTATTTCTTTAGCTGGAGATATGTTCTGACCTTCCTAGTGTATTATGTGGCTCCTATAGAATATTAGGGTTACCTGGATGTCAACTGCGGAGTGTTAAAAAGAAAGTATTATGCTTCTAGATCTTTTGATTGTGAAAATTAAATTGCAGTGTTTACTCCTAGTCCATATTCTAAGTTTTCTGTAACTGAAAAGCATAAATAATATCATCTTTCTCAGACTGATAATCTATAAAGCCAGATAACAATGCTTTAGGAGAATGACTTTATTGCTAATCTTTTGTAAATTTGGAACAAAGTAGAAGGATAACTGCTGGGGAAAAGAGGGGAAGACAGGAATGGCTTCTGTGTAGGAAAGGCTGGGTATGAGATTAGACACATGGAATGAGAGGAGATGCAGAGAGTCAGGGAATGTAGGGTGGTCAGACTCTCAAATGTAAATATGTTTTTCATCTGAGTCTAACTAAAAGCAAAAAAAAATAACTTAATTTAAAAATAAATAACCAAATGCACAGTTGCTCTTAAAGCTCATCATATTTTATCATAGATCTTTTGCTGAGATTGTTTTCTTATTGACGTCAATGGAATATTCAAAATCAATTGAAAGCAGCTGTCTGTTTCAGATACACATTGAAGTCATCAGGAGAAGTGGTATACAGGCTTTCCCAACATGTCTTTTCATCACAAAGTTTTATCATCAATCACTGACTTTGTTTATATTTGCTGAAGTGTAACATGTAGTAGGGCAGATGTATCAAATAACAATGTACTGTAATATGTAACTGGTTTTACCAGATCCATCAAACTCACTTTCATCTTAAATGCAGCATTATTTATTTTGCTCTTTTGTCAGCCACTGTCAAGATTTTTCTCTTATATTAGAGGACAGATCTCTTTTGAGGAAGTAAAGTTCAAAGTAAATTGATTTAATTTCTTAAATCTATTGATACTGAATTTTGTGCTAGTGTATTACATTGAGTGATTTTTATACAGTGAATTTCCATTGCATGATCACTTTGATATTTAGCTTCCAATATTGACTCCTTGTTAAGAATACCGAGTATCTTTTCGTTGAGTCCTTCCAAAGTGACACTTGGAAAAGGTGTGCTTTACCTGAAATAATCTTATCTACAGAATAAATTGTGTGATTACTGCTGTTTTTTCAGTCTCACCAGGTAAGGTCAAAAGTGTCTCAAGCAGAGAAATACAAAGAATATGAACTAATACATGAAGAAGAATGACTGTCTAACTTAATATATAGTGAAGTACAAGGTGATTATGTTTAGGTGAGGCTATACATGTTGCAGGCTTTGGTCGTTTAAAACATCTTTATTTCAGTATTTCCAAGTTGTGAATAGAATAACTTTGCCTACAGAAGGCATGTTCAGGTCACTACAAGTGACCTGAACCCATCTAGCAGGGTAGTGCTCTCTACTCAGTTGGAACGTAAGGGGGAAAATAAATAAATATGGCTTGATTTTTGAAGGAGTTCACTCAGGAAAGTTTGAAAGTAGAAAACAGTAATTCCCCTATAAATGCAGCACACATAAATACCACACCCAAAACCTCCACAAAATCTGCTGTTGCTGGAACTGGAAATGATGCCTATAGCTATTGCTTTTTATTACAGGATGGGTATATTTGTAGTTTCTTTATATCCTTCTGGACCTGAAGAGGGTGCAAAATCTCCATGTGATATGGCTTAGAAGAAGCTGAATTTCTCCTTCATTCTCCTTGTATATTTTGCTTCTCTAGTAACTCGAAGGAACACTGCACCAGCAGCAAGATCCTTGTTAGAAACTTAATGGTAGAAAAAAAATTGAGATAAAAGCACTTACTGTAGCTATTCCCGTTTCATTTGCAGAATTATTTTATTCTTCAAAGTCTAAGCCTAGTGCCTGAACCACT